GCCACTGACCAGGCGACGATCAGAGGAATCGGACTAGTTGATGCTATCTTACCAGTTACCCCACCGCACGTGTATCGAGTGACAGGCTGGCAAAATGAGGAGCACCTTACATAGGTGTAGCAATCAGGGCATGTCATTGTGATGCCGAAATTCACTGTATACGATTCCCCTTGTTTTTTTCCTTGATACGCCCACCACAAATACCCCAAAATGCCCTTCAGAGGGAGGCATGGGAAAGATGCAACTCCGATCACCCTGACTGACTGATAGGTGGAGAAAAGCGCACGTCGCCTATGGGGAAGGGGCCGTAAAGTGCGTGAAACGGGAAAATCAACAATGAAAAGATCACGCTGTCAAATACGACCCCCCTCCCTTCTAGCGAATGAATACGACCCCCTCTTCGGTAATTTCACAATGATGATGCGCTCTGGCGACGATTTCCCAAGGGAAATATGCGAAAGTCAACTAACGTCAAGGATGCAGAAACCTGTATGGTGTTTTTAATAAACATTGGAAGGACCACCTTTCTGGTTCTTTTGTTCTTTACTTTCATGAAATTGTTACTTCATTTCTCGTAAAGTTCACTTTCGCTTTTTCTTTTTCCATCCGGCATCTGAAGTTTGATAGTTCATTGGCTTGTTAATCCAAACAGAACAATTTCGTTGCGTCATCGCACAGCGTGCGAAATTTTCGGGAGGATCCTATTGAATAGAAGAAGCCGAGGGGACCCATATTGCCCTCGTGGGGCCGCGCTCGTCGAGCCATCTTCAATAATACATTTCATAAGAAGAGAGCCTCAGCGAGAAGATTAAAATGCCTCAACATGGTTTTACGGGCAGTGTTGAGTGGAATGAGTAGTTTTCTTGAGCAAATAGCATTTATGACCGGATAGAATCTCGTCGTAGGCGACCGATAACGTCACATTCCGATCGGTTTTCCCTTGACGTTTGAGGACGCCACGGAATGATGACTATTAATAGCCCAGACACGAACGATCGCGTTCCACATACGGCGCCATCGAGCACTTTTGATGGGACCAATGGAAAGGATGTGAACGATTCCGAAAATTGGTGCAACTCAAACGGGCCTTGTTCGGTTTGGGGGGGGGGGCATTTCGCTTTTCCGCCTGTTTCTTTTGCTTGTTCCTCTTTTACACATCTCACCCAGATTAGACCTGTACGCTCTTGTCAAGTGTAATCGGAAGCTCTAGCTGTTGCATAGCTTTGCAAGAGTTTATGATCTCTGCATCAGGCATCAGCAGTGATCGATATGAACCAGACAACACCCCCACGAAGCCGAACTGCGCCCTGAAATGAGTCACCAACGCCCACATCAGCTGGTATAATGCACGCATATTAATATTGCGCCAGCGTTGGTGTACCCGGCCATGGCTGAGTGATTAGCTTTTCTTGTAATACCGAAGGACAATAGGTATTGAACCTGGGTGACTTGAATGATTACAAAAAAAGCGTGCTTGGAATGGAACCTTTGAAAAACGTTATAGGTTTGACAATTTAAACGGCGGGAGTTAAGGAAGATGCAGCCCAACTTATTTCAAGTCATAAAATATGCAACGCCAGTAACTCTCACTCTGCGTCACCAACACAGTTTTGATAGAAATTATTTGCATACTTGCGGTTAGTCAGAAAAAAAAGTTCAAGAAAACATGCATTGGAAACTGTTTTTGAAGGCGCGGGACGGAATTTCGGAAGCGTGCATTGAAATCGATGCACACGGCGAACCATTTATTGGATGTTGGATTTTTTTGGAAAAGCACTGTATTTTAGGTGAAGTGACTACACTTTGGTGCTAATACGGTTTCTAGACAGTGTTGATTTTTGGTGTGCATGGGTGAAAGTGCATTTAGTTTTGGTACTAGACATTCCGCTAGACGCTTCCGCTTCTACCCGCTAGACATTTTAAAACAGTTCTGTCCACTTAAAGACACATGGTACGCTCAAACACATTGAGGGTGTATGAGACTATCAGCCCCCCAGCTGTCGATGTGTCGTGGTCCCCGCCCAAAACTGCACGGGGTCAGAGTACGGGGCCGTGGGAAAGTCGTAATTCCTTGCTACACCGCCCTTTCACGTTTATGCTAACACCATCCGCGCGGCGCGGTCGCGTGCAGCTCTCTTGAAACTCACGAAGTGCTGTAATCTTCTCTCCTGTGCAGGGATTTGCTAAATGACTTTTGGAAGTCTTGAGTGCTTCTTTGATTCAAGCGATTCAACAGCATCGAGCGAGTCGCCGAGGTCTTGATTGGCAAGGAAAGCTTCCTGAATAACGATACTTGGAAATCGAATTAGTACGAATGATATCCAGTAAGGGTAGATAAAGCGCTTCAGAACGAACCTGCTTGTTCATCCATGTCTCAGCTTGTTCGGTGTCACGATAAAACAGCTGAGATCCATGCACTGCTCATACAGAATACGGCGCTCTTCCCAAAGAGCAAGCAGAGCGGCCTTTTCATGGGCCAGATGCTCTAGCCTTTGACGGACCTGAAAAGCAACTTCTCTCGTAGAAAGCAGGAAAAGTAAAAATATATAACTAGCTTCGTCGCTTTCTGGGATTCCCATATCAAGAAGACCTTGACCGGAAACAGCCGTCTGGTTGAAACTGTCTTCACGAGCATCAATTTCTCCCTAGAAATCCGATTTTAGGACATTTTTTGATGGTACATAACAAGTTCACGGCTATAGAAAAGCCGTTACAACACAAAACTTATGCTGCTGGTGGCTTTCCAAAAGGCTTCAGCACAGCGACATCTTTAGCGAGTTCATCGGCCGAGATCACAGCTTTCATGTCACTGATCCATGAACACAGATCTCTGCAAAGTTGAAATAGCTCAATAAATACATGAAACAAATTTCATGTACCAACAAGTTAACTGTACTTTTGTATAGTGTAAGGTCCTTAGTGAAGATTAGCCTTGGTGCGCCATAGGGATAAAGACAGAACTGTTCCCACTCACACGACCACGAGTAAAATCTTTCCATAGAGAGGTGAATGGGTCAAATCAGCATCAGCGTGCCATCATGTGCCCGCTCAATGTACGGGGAACGGAGCTGTAGGGAAGCGATACCCCGACGCCGTCTTCATACTCCGCCGGCGTTATCCTCAGCGTAAAAACTTGCGTCGATGTCAACATCCCTCAGCGAAACAGCGAAAACAACGCTGGCGCACCGATTCAGTTTAGCGGATGGTGAAACTGACCTATCATGAAAAAAGAGAGAGGCCAGAGCAGTACCTCCGCGATGCTTATGATAACCGCGTGGCAGCTGGCACGTGACGGCAGCGCGGCAGAGTATAAGAGTTGGCACAACGGCGTATACTATATGTCACTAACCTCAATCCGCCTTGTACACTTTCATAAATACCGGGAAGAATGGCATGATCTCTGGATATCGCAAGGCTGCGGATCCATTCATATTCAACACAAAGTGGTGGCAGTAGGGGCCAGGATCAGTACGGAGGAACATGACATGAGACAGGTGTTGTTCTAAGAGGAACTGGCGAGGGCTGGTGGAGGGACACTATCACCTTATTACGTTGTGGGGCCACTGTAGGGCACAAGAATTGCCCAGTTGTGTGGCCGACCTTAAACGGCGACGTATCATCATACGCACGTGAGGTCCCGACTCCACAGTGAAATATGCTTCACTTATTACCTTCTATTTCCCTTTACACGTATAAAACGCTGATAGTGTGAACAGCGGCTATGGGCCCCCACTAGACAGTTTTATTCTCGAAAATTCTCACTCACCCTTGGTTACAAGTCTTTTTTGGCACTTCTATTGAATGCATAAATAAACAAATACGCCGATCCTGACTAGCATTTGAGAAAATCATCACCTGTAATCTGCAAGGAAGCGGTGTAGTTGAGGCTCCAGCGATCAACGGCCTTCTTTTACGTGCTTAGCGGCCTTTCATTTATTCAGAGATTCCATTGCCCTTTAGCTTCACGCATCTTCGCATCGATAGCATCAGCGCGATCTGGATGCGTTTCAGAGAGCCTTGCAGCCTCCTAAAATGGCTTGTAGTAACTTAGGCCAAAGATCCTCGAATCTCTCCTGATTCAGCTTCAACCTTTTCCAATTCGGGCTGGCATCTTCCTTCGAGAGCAGCTAATCCTTTCTGTACCCTCATGTTTTCGGCTTCGTAGGCTTGAAACATTATATCAAGTCACGGCCGTAATTCATATCACTCGACAGAGTAGCGTCCTTAAAAACTGCACTCTTAAGCCGAGGACATTCTGACAAGGCATCTCAGTAAGAGAAGTGTTGAACAACGAAGAAAGGGGTTTTCATGGACAAAAGCTGACCTTCTCCGCAATCCATGCAAGAGTTTCATCTGCGTCACGATTGAAGCGCTGCACTTGATGGGCTCCAAAGAGAGATTCTTTCCTGGTAGCGGCAAGGGTGTTCAGGCGATGCCAAGCCTCATTCACCTCGTCACGTTTCTGAAAAAAATACATATTTGAATACATATCTATAAACAACTACTTCAAGCACCTAGCCGATAAAAAAAAGTTTAGTATAGAGCAAACCTTATAAATCTGGTCGTGTTCAGTATGACCATCTTCTACAAGCTTATCAGCAGCTTGATTAATCTCGTTAATGCGATAATGATGGTTTCCTAGCTCTTTCAGAAAATCTTCGAATTTTCGTTGAAGCACTTCTACGTGCTCCAGATCCATACCCATATCTTCGGCAGTCACATAAGCCTCCTAAATGGTACCTTATAATGACCATTATTGACTAACTTCACCCAATATAATTAACCAACCTTATCCCTAATCCAGTAAAGCAACTCGTCACACTGTCGAATAAATTGAAGTAATTTTAGTGCTTGTTGAAGCTGCTTAATACCCTTATCTTTTAGTTTGAAGAACAGCTTGTCCCATAAAGCGTGAAGTTCTTCGAGGCGTTTCTTAAAATATCATTTATACTCGGCATGTAACTTCAAGGGGAAGTAACAGAGTCAAAAAAACAACCCACTTTGATCACCTCGCTTGCAAAATGACCATGCTGAATCATAGCATTTCCAGTTTTATCGAGGTTACTGATGGTTTTTGCATGCGCCTGTACCTCTGCTTCGAACGCTTCATGTTTCTGGATTTTTGCCTGAAATTTAGTACAATAAGATGTATACTACTCGTAATAACTGTTGTGCAGGACTGGTATTTGAGGCTCCACGTGTGACTCCTAGCCCATTGACATTACTCCTCTTATTGAGAGGAGAACCCCTCGTTATTCTTCTGGGGAGACCGCCAAGACGGTCATAATTTGTCGCTCCGCCACATGTGGCGATGGCCAACTTTCTTGAGTCGCATTAGCCTGTCGATCATGGCATCGAATTTAGACTACGAAATGTTAGACATTTATAGATATTTTTGATTAGCCATGGCCCATTGTCGATGTCTACGACCTAGAAATATCGCCAATCGCTAGCGCGAAGTTGCACGCAACACTTACGAGTACGGGGAAACACCATTGTCTTATCACAAACCCACTTTTCTGACTCTCATGACACCTCCCCTCTAAAAACTCTTGAACCAAAAAAATTATAATTCATTCCAAGTGTCTTGTCGTGAGACCTTACCCATTAGGTCCAGAAATGTTGACATCCGCAGGCCACGACGCCTATTCGGGGCGAAATGAAAGAAAAGAAGCAGCAGGAGCACTTTGAGACCATGGTACGCTAAAACACATTAAGGGTGTATGAGACTATCAGCCCCCAGCTGTCGATGTGTTGTGGTCCCCCGCTCCAAAACTGCAGGGGTCAGAGTACGGGGCCGTGGGAAAGTCGTAACTTGCAGCACCGCCAGTTTCGCAAACTCACGTTTTACTAACACCGTCCGCGCGGCGCGGTCGCGTGCAGCTCTCTTGGCTTTTTGCCAAGTCCTGTAATTGCGCTTTGGAATACAAGTACAACGCAATTTCTTTATGCGGATAACATTTTAGGTGCTGCAAAAATAAGAACCGAAGATGATGACGAGGGCTAGAACTCAAGAGCAACTGTGCTGCTTCTGCAATATCCCTCAGAGGCCGCGCATTCCCACAGAACATGACAATAAAAACGGCCTAAGCGTCCCACTCGTTAGTTTGAAGTATTTCTATAGCTTTAGAGCCGGATTCGAGCCGGATCGCAGAAATGCACACGCGATTTTAATTAATTTGCGTTTCCTTAGTTTTTTCAATTTTGTTTTATTTACATCTACATTCGTTGTTCTTCATTTCTAGCCTTTGTCATCTTCATCACCTTCTATTCGGACTTTGAAGCATGAGCAATACCTCAAATGTTAGGAAATTGCGTTTTGCTTGTATTGTCATGTTTTATTGTCATGTTGTCCGTTTTTATTGTCATGTTCTGTGGGAATGCGCGGCCTCTGAGGGATATTGCAGAAGCACCACAGTTGCTCTTGAGTTCTAGCCCTCGTCATCATCTTCGGTTCTTATTTTGCAGCACCTAAAATGTTATCCGCATAAAGAATTGCGTTGTACTTGTATTCCAAAGCGCAATTACAGGACTTGGCAAAAAGCA